TTTTTTTTAATATATATTTGTATATGTATTTGCATATGTTTTTGTTTTATTTATAATAAATAAAATATATTAAAGCTATATATACTGTATATTTCTATAATACTAATATATTATAAGTTGAATATCAGATTAATAAAAGAAAAATGTATAGTGGTCTAGTCGTCACCCTCTCCAAGTGGCAGGTCTAAAGTTTAAATCCCACAGACAACGATATTTGAAAAATAGGCTTGTGTTTGGTTAACGGCTATGCATATTGGTTGGATCTAATCTGTAACTTCGGTCACACCATCTAATAATGGGAGCAATGGTACAATAAACCCGAGGAACCGGTATAACCGAAAACCCATTTGGGAAGTCCCGAGTTAGGAGTAACAATGATCTTTGATGGTATCACAAGAGGGCTGAATTCGAACTGGGCCCAAGATCAGAGAACCGAACGACCAAGTCCTAATGGTGGAGGACACACCAGCTGAACCGCCAGGTTTTGTTGCACCAGAGGAAAAGAACATATGCTCCGAAAGTATGTACCAAGGGGAGGGTGTCCTTTAGGTACCTAAAGCCTGAGCAGACCAACCCTTCCGGGTTGCCGGCTGGAAGTAAGGGAGAGACCGATAAAGAATCTGGGTAAGAAGATGGTCCAAATGCAGGTATCAGGGTTGTTGGGAACCTAATAAAGGTGGAAGTAGGCAATCACAGGGGTTTAATGGTTAGTCCTGACCCCAAGTACATGGGTAGAGCCGTGGTATCAGTTAGTGAAGTCTAGATAAAGAACATATATGTGGGATATATAATATCTAGCAAAATAGAAATATCTTGCCATCCAATGATTCAGAGGCACCTGAAGTCGGGGTAAGCAAACCTCACAGGATATGAGGACCAATGGTGAGGTAAATGGGGTTAATATGACTATACTGGGCCGTAAGGTTTGGTACGTCTCACTCAAGGTAGTTCTAGAAGTTCGAAAACTGAAACACTGCAGGGGGAGGGACCTGGGACATCTATGGTAGGGATGACTAATTAGGAAGATTGTGGCTTGAGATACAGATTGGGTTTCGGCAGTACCTTAAAAGATAGCTTGAGATATGAACTTGGTGATGGCAGCATAACAGGTATTAGTTAGAAATCTGTAACCAATGATGTACTAAAAATCTTGTAAAAATAATATACATTCGTGTACATTCCACTATAATGAGTAATAAAGAGGTAGCGTCGTTAAAAAAAATAAAATAAAATAAAATAAAAATATATCTTATACCTTTTGTATATCTATATTCTCTATTATACTAATATAAGTTGAATATTGGAATAAAAAAGAAGAAAAAATATATACCGCTATATGTCTCTATACCTACCGATATTTTTCTATTATACTAATATATAAGTTGAATATTAGGGTAAAAAAAGAAAAATATATATACCGCTATATGCCTTTATACCTACCAATATCTATTATAGTATTATACTACTAACATAACTTGTGATACTATTAATGCGTAAAATGAATATCGGGACAATAAAAGAAAGAACACTATATACCGGTATATGCCCTTTTGTATACTTATAACTTGTTGTGATACTATTAACGCATACCGTATTACCGTGGAATAGCGCACATGGGCGTTATTTCAAAAATTACATTCCTTAAAAATAGTATACTTAACTTCAAAATAACGCCCATGCGCGTCCTGAAATAGCGCACACCCTATATAGTATATTAACTTAAATTAGTTCTTATAACCCGGCCAAGTCGAAATTTATGAAACTAAAAAAAAACTTCATGTATTCTTACTATCTGGGTGAGTTCTTTTAAAAAATCTATAAAAATTTTGAGACATTATTAATTAATCTAGAATATTCTATACAAAAATTTTTACGTACGTAAGTAAAATATTAACACGTTATATCATTACTGATAACTATTTATCAATCATAATCGACCTTGTACCCATTTTTGTTACCAAGTTCTAAATCTTTATATTTCTTAAATTCTTTTAATTCTTCTAGATCTTTGGAAACTTTGGATTTTCTTAGACCTTATTCATGCCATTAAAAACGCCATTTATTTCCAAACAGAGATATTCCGTTTATACCACTTAGTTTAATGTTTTTTATATACCGGTATAAAATTTTTTGAAAATAGAATTAAAGCGCTCCGATTTATTAAGTTTGTATGGCAGTATTGTAAATGCATATGAATTTATTTCAATTTGTTTACTTAATGTTTATATCTAAATAGTTGAATAAACTCTTTACATTTGCTAAATTACAAATCTATATTTAATGAATTTAACAATATTCCGAGTTAAGAAAAAAAAAGGAAATATAAAATATCTTATAAATTCTCAAACGTATTGAAGACGAGAAAAGAAATATAAAGGCTAATCTATTCAATGCATACATATAAGAAAAACAGCAAAGTAAACCTTAAAATTTCGATCATTATACTGCATGCTAGAAATATTTATGTATAAATTTTGAATTAATAATTATTTGTATTTCTTATTTAATCGATTTATTTAATTTAACAACTTACGTTAATTATTATTCTACCATTCTATCGTCATCCATCACATATTTGAAATCTGCATTTTCATCATCGCTAGTATTATCGTCATCATCGTCGGTTTGATTTTCTACATCCATTACACTTTCACTTTCAACTTCATCATCTTGAAGTGCATCCAATAACTCATTCATATTTAACTCAGTCATACGATCTTCAACAATTGCTCGAAGACAATCTGACATTTTATGATCCTCACTACCATCTGGGTTAAGCGTAAGCCCAGTTGTTTCGAACGATCTGACTAACATATTGGAACTAATTTCCTTCCAGGTTTTAGACACCCATTCGCTAACAAGTTCATATGAAGCTTTCTTACGGTTTCCATTTTTAGTAAGTACTACTTTTTCTTTATCAATCCACTCTTCCCATCTTTGTCTCATTCTATTTTTAAATAGCTTATTAATCGAAACGTCTGGTGATTGCAAAACGCTAGTGGTTCCTCCGGGTATTTCTAAAAGATCAAGCCCTTCTACCATAAATGCTCTTTTTACATCATCACGAATATGACTTCGATGACCATCGACAAATATAATGCCTTTACATTTAAAAAAACATTTGGTCTTGCCCGAATAGCTTGAGGAATATATGTAGAAATCATAAGGTCTGCTTTCATATTCACATGAGGTGCTGCTGCAACAATGATATCATGTGAAAATTGGCCTTTGGGCTTTTTTTTAAATTTAAAAATTACCATAGGTGGAAGTTTTACTCCAGAAGCCGTATAGCCCAAAACTACAGTGAATCGTAATTTATCACTACCAGTAGTCTTTATTGGAACCTCGCGTACACCTTTAAAATCATATGTTGAATTACAAGGCATGTCAAACCACATAGGTGTTTCGTCGAAAGAGATAATAAATTGGTTTTCAATAACGCTTGTTTTTTCTTGTGAAATTTTAAGGAAGTTTTTGATAACTATAGGCATATTTTCAGGAAATTTTTGTGCAATTTGTGTTTGTGTTCATTCTACCAAACCATGCCATTTTCTAAAACGTTCACACTAGCCGCGTGAAAACTTGGCATCCCTAATACCTAAAGTTTCACCTAACTCCTTTGCTTTTTTTTTGATCATCGAAGTTGTAACTGCAATTTTTTCTTCTCTCTTTTTTTTAATATATTCAACTAATTCATTTTCTAGCTCAGGATATATAGGTTTTCGACCTCGACCACTAAGAA